GCTTCCAAACCCACGACCTCTACTACCTAGAAGGACAAGGTCAGCAGATGCATGTGAATATCACCAACTGCAAGTTCTCATCCAAGGCACATACCATCCTGATTTCAAATTGTTAGAGGCATTGCTGGGACAAATCCTGGAACTCCTTCCAGCGCTTTCGTTGCCTCTACCTCCCAAGGACTGCAGTGGCTCAAGAAGGCAGCTCACCACTACCACCTTCATTTGCAATAAAATACTGACCTAGCCAGCAATGCTTACACTCTTGAAAGAATAAAAAGTGCACACACACCTGCACCTATGTACAGACATATGAATATGCAAAAATATAGAAACCTGTACATATATACACTGCACACCTGTTGCTACAGACATGGGCTGAATGTAGATTGGCCTCCACTTATCCATTTACAGATACATGCAGCATAAATTGCAAAGTACACCTCAGTCCTCCCATAACCCCCTTCAGACAGAACCCCGCTTTGTTCCCTTTAATTCCTGTTTGCATCATTGGCAAATCCAGCATCTGTTGCCCATCCCTAACTGCTGTTGAGAAGATAACAGTGCACTACCTTGAGCCAGGACGGCCCTTGCTGATTTTGTACCAGCTGATACAACTGAGTAGTTTGGTCAAACACTTCAGAAGCCTGTTAATAGTCAGTCACATTGTTGTACCTCTGAAGTCATGTATCTAGGCCAAATTATGTAATGGCAGATTTCCTTCTCTAGTGAACATCAGCATAATAGTTGTGTCTTTATGACAATCCAATAGACTCATGATCTTTGTTAGAATTATAGAATCCCTACAGTGCAGAGAGAGGCCATTTTTTAAAATTCATTTGAGGGATGTGGGTGTCACTGGCTGGCCAGCATTTCTTGCCCATCCCTAGTTGCCCTTGAGAAGGTGGTGGTGAGCTGCCTTTTTGAACCACTGCAGTCTTCCTACTGTGGGTTGACCCACAATGCTATTAGACAGGGAATTCCAGGTTTTTGACCCAGCGACAATGAAGAAACGGCGATATATTTCCAAATCAGGATGGTGAGTGACTTGGAGAGGACCTTGGAGGTGATGGTGTTCCCATATATCTGCTGCCCTTGTCCTTCTAGATGGAAGTGGTCGTGGGTTTGGAAGGTGCTGTCTGAGGATCTTTGGTGAATTTCTGCAGTGCACCGTGTAGATAGCACACACTGCTGCTACTAAGCATCGGTGGTGGAGGGATTGAATGCATGTCGATGTCATGCCAATCAAGCAGGCTGCTTTGTCCTGGATGGTGTCAAGCTTCTTGAATGTTGTTGGGGCTGCACCCATCCAGGCAAGTGGGGAGTATTCCATCACACTCCTGACTTGTGCCTTGTAGATGGTGGACAGGCTTTGAGGAGTCAGGAGGTGAGTTACTCGCCGCAGTATTCCTAGCTTCTGGCCTGCTCTTGTAGCCACTCTGTTTATGTTGTGAGTCCAGTTGAGTTTCTGGTCAATGGTAACCCCCAGGATGTTGATAGTGGGGGATTCAGTGATGGTAACACAATTGAATGTCAAGGGGCGGTGGTTAGATTGTCTCTTAATGGTGATGGTCATAGCCTGGCATTTGTGTGGCGCAAACGTCTCTTGCCACTTGTCAGCCCAAGCCTGGATATTGTCCAGATCTTGTTGCATGTGAACATGAACTGCTTCAGTATCTGAGGAGTCGTGAATGGTGCTGAACATCCCCAATTCTGACATTATGCTGGAGGGAAGGTCATTGATGAAGCAGCTGAAGATGGTCGGGCCTAGGACACTACCCTGAGAAACCCCTGCAGAGATGTCCTGGAGCTGAGATGATTGACCTCCCATAACCACGACCATCTTCCTATGTGTCAGGTATGACTCCAACCACCGGAGCGTTTGCCCCCTGACACCCATTGATTCCAGTTTTGCCAAGGCTCCTTGATGCCACACTCGGTCAAATGCAGCCTTGATATCAAGGGCTGTCACTCTCGCCTCGCCTCTGGAATTCAGCTCTTTTGTCCATGTTTAAACCAAGGCTGTAATGAGATCAGGAGCTGAGTGGCCCTGCAGGAACCCAAACTGGGCTTCGGTGAGCAGGTTATTTCTGAGCAGGTGCTGTTTGATAGCACTGTTGATGACACTTTCCATCACTTTATTGATGGTTGAGAGGAGACTGATGGGGCGGTAATTGGCTGGGTTGGATTTGTCCTGCGTTTTGTGTACAGAACATACTTGGGCAATTTTCCACATTGTTGGGAAGGTGCCAGTGTTGTAACTGTACTGGAACAGCTTGGTGAGGGGAGCGGCAAGTTCTGGAGCACAAGTCTTCAGCACTATCGCCGGAATGTTGGCCCATCAAGTCTGCACTGACCCTCTGAAGAGCATCCTACACGGACCCAGCCCCCACCCTCTCCGGTAACTCCCATTTTCATGACTAACCCACCTAGCCTGCACATCCCTGGACACTATGGGCAATTTAGCATGACCAATGAATCTAACCTGCACATCTTTAGACTGTGGAAGGAAACCAGAGCACCCAACGGAAATCCACACAGGTACAGGAGAACATGTAAATTCAGCACAGATGGTGATCTTTTGGTTTTTCATTTCAATTTTATTACTTACATTTCAACTTCTGAAATGTTATAGCACAATTGAAATATAATCTCCAGAGCATCAGCCAAGTGTGCAGGATTACTACTCTTAGCAACATCAATACTGTTCTACTCTGCCTTTGAAATCGATCATTTCCAACAAATGCACTCAGCAAGAGGACCAGAGGCTGATCGTAGAATTGTAAATTTTAGAGAGAGAGAGAAAGAAACAAAGTAACCTGGGGTATGGATTGAGTTTTTAAACAGTGTTTTGTTCCTTTTTTTTTAATATGTAGTGCCTGGGCCATCCACCACACTAACGGCAGTGCAGCTCTTCTCCAAGCAGAATCCTGCCCGGCAGGAGCTCTGCAAACTCCAGCAGCAGATGAAGGCACAAGGACTAAACGTGACGGCCACCAGGCGTGAGGTCTCAGAGTTCCGGGTCAAATTCCAGGAGCAGCTCAAACAACTCCAGGACCAGGACCAGAAGATCCTAGAGCAGAACCAGATCATCGGCGAGCAGAATGCCCGGCTGGCTGAACTGGACCGAAAGCTGGCTGAGCATGCCCTTAAGCACCAGCAGAACGAGCAGAAGATCAAAGACCTGCAGGAGCTTCTGGAACGAGTCATTGAGACCCGGGCTGCAGCTGATCAAGCTTCTGCCGGGCAAAGCAAACGCAAGAAGGCACCACCAGATGGCACCACTTCAGACTTACCCACCCGTGCCAAGCGCCTTCGGAGCAGGAAGTGAGCTGGAGATTGCAAGAGGGAGATTTTGTTGTTCTTGTGTCACTCATAATGGTAATGGGTATTTGTGTGCTTCTGCACCAAGTTACACTGTATATATGGTGCAAGATGACACAGGTCAGGAGAACAGACAAGGTATTGGGATGGCAACAGGCTCCAGACATAAGATTGGGCAGGGTTAGTAGCCATGGGGAGGGAGGAGATGGAAGGCACCACATTGGGAGCTGACTAGAGCAGAACTGAATTAAACTCTGCTCTTTTACCCAGTACTGGGTGACTGAATCAGTTAAACTTGCCTGGGTGAGGCATCTGACAAACAGGTGGAACACATTGTAATCCAGCCCACACAGTATAGACTATTCTTACTGAAGAATTGTTTGTGTTCAGTTTGCTGGTCTCGGGTAAGGGCAGCAATACCGCAGGCCTGAGTTCCAGCATCTCCCTTCCCAGGATATAGGGTAGTCCCTTCCCCTGGTCAGTTGATGAGCTCCCCTAAAAATATTTGTTTATGCACTAAGTTTGGAGTGGATCTGGCTCACTTGTGATGTCCCCATGACCAAATGGCCTGCTGCCATCTTGGAGACTGTGTATCCTCATCAGAGTTAAAGCTTTCAGGATAAGAGGCAACCACCTGTGACAGTTTGATGAATGTGGGCACTATGACCCAGCATATGTTTCCTTCTAATTGTCCTATGAGTGTGGATTTCAGAGTTATGATTCACTCTATACTGCCACACTGTTCAAACCAGGTCAGGTTGAAGGGTAACAACAGGATGGATTCTACACGTTTTGCAGAGAGCTCGGGTCATTAAAGCTTAGGGTCCAGAATTCCTGAGGCTTTTTCCTTTGAGTACTGAAGGAAGATTGGAACAAGGAGAGAACAGTGTGAATGCCCCGCATCTAACTGTGCTCCCATGGTGCTGGATAGATGGCCTATTCATTTGATCAGTGGTTTTGGGGTCTCCCAACATACCAGCAGTACCAGGGAGTGGAGCACTCTGTCCTCCTAATTGTTCACTCAGTAATACTAGCTGTACAATTTTCTCCTAAGTACTGTACATGTATAACCTGAATATTTTATTTTTGGGAGGCAGAGCCTGATCCCAGTTTTGGCTGTCCAGAAAGGGTAGTTCTAATGCTTATTCATTAATTGGTTCTGATAGGATTCCAGTTCAGAATAAATCAGCATTGTATGGTAAAAGTGAACAGGTTACCTAGTAAGTGTCTTTCACCTCACTGCTGGGACAGCCCACTCTTGTTTGTATTTCATGGACAATGTGAAATGCATGATTAGGAATAATGCGATATCTCAAAAACTAAATTTATCTCCTCACTGAAAATGTCACATCCAGAGGTACTAATGTTATTAGTCACCCAAGCCCAAGGTGGTGTCACTCAAAGTGATCCTTCTCATGCTCCTCCTGAGGAGGTGCCACTCAAAGTGATGCTAATGTTCATCTTGAGGCAACTTCACCAGTTACCACGGCTTGCCACATTTATTTGTTTTCCTTGTCTTGAACTTTCTGTCCTTGAGAAGAATAGTTGTTCAAACTTTAGCCTCTATTCAGTTACTAATGATGTAACTGTTGAGCCCAATCCTACCACTTCCATTATCCACCATAGCCCTCTCCAGGAAGAGGTTGATGGCAATGGTGAGTACTAGACTGCTAGAATTTCACACCCCTCCCCCAGAAAAAACCCTCTGACCCCACACAACAGTTATAATATGCCCCAGAAAGCTGCACACAAAAGAAGTATGACCTCTTAAAACAGATGGTATTGATGCCTGAATTTTAGGAAGTGACACTGTAAGGTTCTTCAGAAAGTTCTCAGCATTTTAAAACCAATTTCCAGTCCTTCCTTTTGATCATGGTGTTACTGTCACAGGCAGCTGCTGTTCTCTTCCGGTGCCACTTCTACACTAATAGAACATTCAGCTTCAAAGATTGCAATACTGATTTGCTCCTGACCATCTTCTCCCAAGATCTATCTCCAGCCGTCTTTGCCCTGTCTGAGCTCCTTTCCCTCAGTCTTTATGAAAAAGGAGGGGGGGGTTGGATTAATGCTCACTTGAACTTGAGCCTATTCCATTGCCCTCTCTGCTGTATGTGTGTGTGCCTTTGATCTATTTTTCACCAATTGGCCCATCACAAGCTTAGACTTTGAGGGGTTCTGAGTTTGACTCTTGCATGGTAGCCAATAGACTTTGCAGAATCTTTCAGTGACACTGTGGGACCCTTAACCTCCTGTGCACCAAAGTGAATCTGCTTACTGGGAGGTGAATACAACACTGCTGTGAGCCAAAAACTGAAAGAAGAATCAAGCCTTAATGTGGCAGTCAGTGCAGGGCTGGACTCTGGCTCTGAGAGGTCTCTAAAGATTCTTCATGCCATTATTGAGGATTCCAAGGAGCAGTCGTATTCCTGCCTGTTGTGTTGTAACAGGACCTGGTTTACAGATACATAACCCCAAACTGTGTACAGACTCACCTACAGATTGATAACCTGGAATTACAACCTGTCGAAGGATACTAACTGGTCAGGGTATGACAAATTGAGTAACTCAAGTGGGGTGGGGCTTAGGGCCACTTTAGTTGGCCTCAGTTCCTTTGGCTGGGAAAGGAAAATATTGGTCAGTTAATTCTAGCAACCTCTGAGGAAGGATTTCTACTGGAAGACAGTGTTGTGGTTGGCTGTGGTACCATCATTCTGCAGAAAAAGAATGATCTTTCAGTGTCTGTGAGCATGTACCCCAGCATGGAAGTCACTTTACAGGAAGAGAGAGCAGAAAAACAAAATAAATGTTCAGTGTGAGTACTTATTTTTAATTTCAACAAGAATGAGTGGCCAAATGCACCAAAAGTTCATTAATGGAATGTTGTCAGCACCTCTAGGTGTTCTTGAAGTTGTATAAAAGGACATTTGAATACTCCAAGAGTTAAACACGTCTTGCTTTACAAAAGAAGAAAATGCACATTTCTGTTATTTGAAATGTTTCCTTCACTGATTAAAAATATCCTGGATGTCCAGTAAGGGCTGTTTCTTAAGTTGAGACTGTACTGACTGTTTTAATGACCATTCTTTGACTGGATTGGTGGTGGGTAATGGTAATGGTAATGGTGGTGGTGGTGGTGGGGACCAGGTGGATTTGTTAAACAAAGTTTATTTCAAAAGAAACACTCCATTTCTACTGTTATAAAGGCTTAGCCCTTATGTGTTCTTTTTACATTTATAGCCAGCTCACTGCTTCATTCATCAAAGGGTGCCTGTTCTGTATGGACCACTGGTATCACTACTGTCGGGTCAATGTGGTGTTGGCTATTCAGGTTTCTTCGGAAGATGCACTGACCTGGGAGACATCAGCTTTATGTACAGAGGATCTCAACTGGGCATAAGATATAGGAGTAGGTCATAGAGTTCAGCTGATCATCCAAATTAACTCTGTTTACCTGTCAAGCTGACATCCTCTTTCCTCTAGGTAGTCAGTCTTTTTTTTTCAGGTGTTGGGGGGCAGGGAGTTCATGAACTGAGCATCCACACTCTTCTGATGTAGAGAATTCAAAGATTGACAAGCTTGACCCTCTTGATACCAAACGCTTCTTACCTGAGACTTATCCCGGTTCTCGATTCCAGCTGGCAGAGATGGCTTTTTAGTATTTGCTATGTCAAACCCTTAGTGAGATGACTTGTCATTCACCTAGAGAATATTGGTCCATTCTCCTCCTACATTCATTGTGTCATTTTGTAGTTAGTGTTATTATCCAACAACTCTTATTTGTATAGTGCCTTTATGATAATAGAACATTGGAGGTATTTTATTGAAGCCACATGAGATATTAGTACATATGACTAAAGCTTGTCCAAAAAGGTAGGTTGCGTGGAGCACCTTTAAAGGAGAAAGAAGTGGAATTGAGGGAAGAATTTTTCGAGTTTCAAGGATTGGTAGCTCCAGAGGCCAGAATTTGGGAAGCACAGATGTTGCAGAAGATTGTGGGAAGATAGAGGCCGTAGAGGGATTTGAAAATGAGGGTGAGAAGTTTAAAATTTGGTTGAAAGCAGAAAGCTGTAAACACTGAGCAAATCAGGCAGCATCTTTGGAAGGGAAAAAAGAGTTAATGCTTCTGACTGGGAGCTGGCATCAAAACTAGTAAAGCTTAGAAACGTTATAGGTCAAAAAGAAAAAAAAAGGTCTGTGGTATGGCAAAAGACAGGAGCCTTTCCAAATACATGTAAATCCTGTCCCTCACGATTCCCTCCAACAACTTGCCCATCACCAATGTCAGGTTCACTGGTCCGTAGTTCCTTGGCTTTTCCTTTCCGCTCTTCTTAAATAGTGGCACCACGTTAGCCAAATTTCCAGTCTTCCAGCACCTCACCTGTGGCTATCAATGAAACAGATATCTCAGCAAGGGGCCCAGCAATCATTTCCTTAGCTTCCTACAGAGTTCTAGGTACAACTGATCAGGCCCTGGGCATTAATCCATCTTTTTGCGTTTTAAGACATCCAGCACCACCACCTCGTTAGCACTGCTGCCTCACAGCATCAATCACTTATTTATTTACTCAACTCCTCTGCCATTTCCTGGTTTCCCATTATAATTTCCCCAGTCTCATTCTGTAAGGGGCCTTCTCACGTTGGCCTCTCTTCCTTGTTTTTCAGGATGCTGACTGTTCATTTCTATATTACTTGCTAGTTTGCTCTCAGTTTATTTTCTCCCTCTATTGTTTTTTGGACAATATTTGGTGGCTTTTAAAACTTTCCTAATGCTCATATTTACCACTAATCTTTGCCATATTTATACATTTTCCTTCAATTTGATATATTTAGTCAGCTGTGGTCAGCTTTTTCCTTTCTAGAATTCTTCTTCCTCACTGCGGTATATCTTTGCTGTGAGCCATGAATTATTTCTTAAATGCTTGTCATTATTCCTCAACCATCTCTTCTGCAAAACCCTTTTCTCAGTCCACTTCAGCCAACTCTGCTCTCATCCCTAGGGGCTCTTCCATTCAATAAGGCTTGACCTTCACTTTCTCCTTGCCAGAATTTCACAGATCCCCTGGTAATTTACTGTGAAGATCTCTGTCTACTGTCACATTTCTCAACTTCGTTCGGCCTTCTATGTATATTCTGTGAGCCCTGGCTGTTTTAAATCCTCTGGGATCTGTGTTGACCCTTTCTGACACTTCTGGATAGACCTCAGCCCAGCTCAATTCAAGTGACCTTTCCTGAGTTTTACTGTTCCAATGGGCTTCTGAACTTCACTCAAATCCTAGACTCTTTGCTGCCTTTTGCTAATTTAATTCATGTAACCCTTCTTTGGTCACTTCAACTCTCATGTTTTTTACTACTGTAGGCATTGAACGTCTTCTGGTTCCTGGCTTTCCTGACACTTGTTGGCTTTTTCCAGTCTGCCCAGCCTCTCTGATTTGTCATTTTCTTTTGAGGGATCACTGCACATTTGGTGGGGAAGGGAATGCAATGAGGAAGGATACTTGTTCCATCTTTGACAGCCACCAGTAGACCAGGAGTCGAAAAACTACATAAGAGGGAGGAGTTTGTTCAAAAAAATCAGAGGAGATTCTCACAGGAGAACTGCAAGATCATTTTATTTCTAATCTTCAGTTTACAGCTAGCTGAAGTTAAGATGGGGCAGTTTAGCAATTTGAATCCTGTGACACCTGGGTAAGTTTGGACACTTCACTTGATCTAGATGAACTTGCAGAAATGTCACCGGCTGCAGAAATTTGAGCTCTGGATTTCAGAACTCCAGCAATGACAGCGGTGTGTCCATGAGACCAAGAGTTACATGAATAGCATGTTCAGAGATGGTCACACTGCAGATTAGGGGCATGCAGGCAAGGAGGGAATAAGCAACTGCCAGACAGTCCAAAGGAACCAGGCAAGTCATGGTCATACTTGAGAACTGGCTTTCCATTTGGATACTGGTGAGAACGAAGATCCCTCAGAGGACTGAGAAAACACCAGGTCTGTAGATATGTTGATGGGCCAGATGTGCAGGAGGGATGAAGAAAAGAGCAGTACTGATAGAGGATTCATTAGTTAGGAGAACAGACAGGTTTTTCTGTGGTCATGTCAGCAACTCCAGGATGATGTGTAGCATCCAGTGCCAAGGTCATGGATGCCATAGAGCATCAACACAATATTCTTCTGGGTGAAAATGATCAGCCAGAGCCTGTGATCCACACTGGTACCAACAGTATAAGTTGGAAAGAGGATGTGATCCCACAGAATTTAGGGATCTAGGTAAAAAAAAATTTGCAAGCAGTACCTCAAAAGTAATAATCTCCAGATTATATGCTGTATCACATGCCAATGAGTACAGATATAACATGGTTAGACAGATGAATCTGTGGCTGAAAAGATGGCGCAGAATGGAGGACTTCAAATTTGTGGGAGAGATGGCAACTGTACTAGCCAGATGTGTTGCACCTGAACAGAGACAGGACTGTCTATCTTGTGCAGAGTTTTGTTTGTTGGGGAGGGTAAACTAACTCTGCAGGGGTTTGGAAACCAGGAAAGAATATTTGATTTGATTAGATTAGATTATTGTTACATGCATTGAGATACAGTGAACAGTATTGTTTTACATTCTATCCAGGCAAAGCATATCATACATAAGTACTTCAGGGTAACAGAACAGAACGCAGAATATAGTGTAACAGCTACAGAGAAGGTGCAGAGAAAGATCAACTTTAATATATGAGAGGTCCTTTCAAAAGTCTGGTAACAGGGGGGAAGAAGCTGTTCTTGAATCTCTTGGTGTTTTCAAAATTTTGTATCTTCTGCCCTATGAAAGAGGGTGGAAGAGACTTTAACCAAGATGGGAAGGGTCTTTGATTATGTTGGCTGCTTTTCCAAAGCAGCAGGAAGTATAGACCGATTCAATGGATGGAAAGTTGGTTTGTGTGATTGACTGGGCTGCACAAGGTAGCAAATGGTATTTTGGCCTTCAGGGTTAGAGGGTGAGACTATTGGAGCAGGGATGTCTCGCTGCAATTGTACAGCAGCTCGGTGAGACCACACTTGGAGTATCACGTGCAGTTTTGGTCTCCTTATCTGAGGAAGGATGATCTGGCTGTGGAGGTAGTGCAACAAAAGTTCACCAGACTGATTCTTGGGATGGCAGGGCTTACGTAAGCAATTTAAGACTGAAATGCTGAGAAATTTCTTCACCCACAGGTCAATAAGCTTGTGGAATTCTCTGCCACTGAAGCAGTTGAGGCCAAAACGTTAAATGTTTTCAAGAAGATAAATATAGTTCTTAGGGCAAAAAGGATTAAAGGCTGTGGAGAGAAAGTGGGAATATTGTACAGAGCTAGATGATACACCATGATCATATTGAATGGCAGAGAAAGCTCACAAGGTCTGGTGGCCTACCTTCGATCCTGTTTTCTATGTTTCAATAGATCAGGAACAGATAGACTGGAACCAGAAGTTACTGGGAAAAACTACCTGATCAATGGGCTACTTTAGAGCAGAAACGTTTCAGATATAGTCAATGTATCTTGTCTCAAAAAGAAAAGGCAAACAAATCCAGAGGCTTGATGAGGTCACTGCTGTTGATATGGTGCACGTGGACTTCCAAAGGTGGTTCTCACAGTGCAATACAAAAGACAGTGAGTAAACTTATAGCTGATGGAATAAAAGGGACATTAGCAGCATGACAACACTGAAAAAACTGGACATCATCAAAATTGCCGAGTTGATTGACACCATATCCACAAATATTCACTCCCTCCACCACCAACACACAGTAGTAACTGTATGTACTATAAATAAGATGCACTGCAGAAATTCACCAAGGCTTCTTGGACAGCAGTTTCCAAACCTTCAAACGTTACATGGAAACGTGTGAACACCAGTAAGCAATTCCATCTGTCGAGCCTGCCTCATCACTTAATATGACCATGGTTGATCAAATATTTCTATTGCCTTTTACTCACCCCATCCCCATAGCCCTGTAATCAGAAATCCATCTCTCCTTAAACATAATCAAAGACTGATCCT